CCCAATATACTATAGTAGTTTCCATTTTCTTTTCCATTATCCCAATATAACCCCTATATAGCCCCAATATACTATAGTAGTTTCCATTTTCTTTTCCATTATCCCAATATAACCCCTATATAGCCCCAATATACTATAGTAGTTTCCATTTTCTTTTCCATTATCCCAATATAGCCCCTATATAGCCCCAATATACTATAGTAGTTTCCATTTTCTTTTCCATTATCCCAATATAACCCCTATATAGCCCCAATATACTATAGTAGTTTCCATTTTCTTTTCCATTATCCCAATATAACCCCTATATAGCCCCTATATACTATAGTAGTTTCCTTTCTATGTCAGCTTGTGTGGCCAGGGTAGGCTTCTTGCCGGGGCACTTAAGATGTTGGCGACAGGACGCTGGTACGAAAAGGCTTTATGACATGCGCTAGGAATGGGTTAAGGTTTAAAATGTCCAAGGCGTGGCATCTTTGGGATGGTTCTGGGTTTGTTCAGGGTCAGCGGGTGGAACTCAGAGTTTGGGTTTGAAGTTCCCATGCGGGGTTTGTGGATCGAAGCCTTACGGCTGAGTTGCTGTGATGAGGCTTGTGCCAGGTGGCTATCAGACCTTAAGCCTTTGAGATGGCAGGGGAGGAATATCTTACGTCTTACTTGTGGTTAGTAGGGAATGAGGGAATGTAATCCCTATATAATCCCCGTACAATATGGTCCCTTGTTCTCTACAAGCCCCCCGTACAGCAATCCCGCTCTCAGGGCCATGAGTGACCCAGACTCTCCCTTTGAAGTGGCAAACAGAAGTTTGAGAAGCTGAGGTGGGGCCTCATCTCAATACTTTCCCTACTCAAGTCACAGGAAAGTAAGGATATTGCCACGAAGTTGAATGCCCTTAGCACAGATTATGGCCTTTTCCTAATATTGCGCATGAGGGGTGCAAACACTTTTGCGCGGGCCAAAGGAACATGAAATCTGACTCAAAGATGTGAACACAAAACTGAGACCACAAGAGCCTGCATTTCTTCATATTTACTGGCTGGTAGAGCGCTTGGAAAAAGGGAGATAGGGGAAACAACAATTTCCCCATGAACCCCAACGCACAAGGATCCCCATGCCAAGCGGAAGTTGCAATTGCACTTGCAACAACAACCACGACAACTACAACAACTACAACAATCACCCTTAAACCGAAACCCTAAACCCCTAAACCCTTTAACCCTAAACCCTTAAACCCTAAACCCTGAAACCCTCAAACCCTAAAACCTCAAACCCTAAACCCTAATTTCCTAAACCCTACAACCACAACCCCCCCACAAAAAATCATGGCGGTGCCCTTCTCTGGGGCACCGCTTGGAGCTCCGCATGGCTTTCATCTCCTTTCAGGGAAGCTGGTTTAGGGTTTAGGGTTTAAGGGTTTAGGGCTTTTTAGAGGATTATCCGTTATATTGGGATAATGGAAAAGAAAATGGAAACCACTGTATTAAAATGGGTTATATATAGGGCTATATTGGGATAATGGAAAGAAAATGGAAACCACTATTTAGGGTTTAGGGTCTAGGGTTGTTTTTTTTCTGATGCACTTTCTCCCAAAGTAGCATGGAACCCCAAATCTTTTCTTGAAAGGACAGCAGCCCATGTAGGCACTCTTCTCAGGTTTCATGCTAATTCGAGAAGGAGTAGGGAGAAAGCACTATGAGGGAGTCAGATGACAATGAATTATGTACGGATCACAGTGGGATCTTTAACTGGGGCATCACATGTCCCTAAACAAGGCTGCCACAAGGTTGCCAACAAAGCATACACACCCACATGCTGTCAGCCATGGCGCATTGTCGACTGGAATAGAGCACAGTAGAGGAGTACGCTTAGATACTGTAGGCTAAGCGGAATCCATAGGATGCACGCAGCTCTGTGATTTGTGGTGCCTGCAGGGTGGGCAAGAGCCTTCAACTGCCCGCAAAAGCACTTTAAAGAGGACTCGGTATGTAAACAAGCATAAGAAGGGGACGCATGAAGGACGTGGTACTAATTTTGAAATTCTATGAGTAATCGGACGAAAGTTGCTGACCCGCACCTTGTGAACCTTGGTGTGGGAACTAAATTTAAAGCTGGCTGGCGCGAAAGGTCAACTACCCGACCTAACCTCTTTCCATTCGACTTGCAAGACGCAAATGGTAAGATGCAATATTTGCCCCTTAGCGATGCGTGATGAGCAACCCTTGACCTGCAAGTGCTCCAAAGGACATAAGCCTAGACCCTGTCCTAAACTCGATGACCCCAAATGTATGTTTCTGTATACAGAAGGGGATTTCCCCCTTAACAGCCGCAAGTTGGGGTTCCATTCGTGTGAAAACAAGCACTACCAAAGTAAGCTCCTAAGTAAAAACTCGTCATCCTCAAGTAGCTCAAGTGAGTGGGTGGCCAGACCAAATAAGATAAACAAGATTACATCCTTGTTCTTCACAGGCTGCAAGAAGTTCCCTCTAGCTCTGCAAGCTCTCTGATCCGGGCGTCAAGTTTCATGCAGTGATGGACTTTTGTCCTGCATGAACCTACCGTTGCTATCCTCTTAGGGGTGTAAGACTTTGCAGAGGGCGGCTTAGGACTTCGGATTCTTGGTGAGGTGCCTCACCTGTCATGCCTGTTCTGGCTTTGATCACACTTACGGGTACCATTGCAAAAGCTACCTGAACTTCTTACAAGATGGCAGGGCCTCCTCATCTGAATCCATGGCGGCAGCAGGCTTCTGAGGCCAGTCGCTCGGATCGATGATGTTTCACTCAACTCTAGCTCTGCAAGATCTCAAGGACTTGAAGAAGGCAGGGTTTCTACCTGCGGCATCTGCCGCAAAATGTGCTGCTGGACCAACATCAGGCCTACAGGGTCAGATGTATGAAGCTTGCCATGGGTAAAGTGCTGCAAGACTCGTTGGGTTGGGTCAGTGGGTGGCGTTGGTTGTTGCTTGTGCGGCTACTGCTGGCATTACCAAAGCCTACACTTCAGCACGTGTTTAGAGCTTCTTGTCATCATGCATTGGCTGTCCTCACTAATCACTTTACTCCTGCTCTTAAACACTACGGGGCCGGGCAAGAAGTCTCAGAACCCATCCAAAGTATGGCTCGGCCAGTGGTGCAAATGCAGAAGTGCTAGGACCTCACATCTGGCTGGTGGGGCATAGGGAAACTAGGTCCCGTTGAAGGGATCTATAGGGATTATATCAGGGTAACTAAAAGAACGGAAGCTACGGCATAGTTTAGGCTCTAGGGGTGGCATATGTACGGTTTTGTAAACCACATTTACGTGCTCTCTATCGGGGGGACAAGACTCGAAACAAGGAGGGTGGCGCAGGCGGATACTGTGGGCAGCCCCGGGGGCCCCGGGGGCAGTGCTGGTAAGGTTGTCTTATCGCTCTTGTTCTACTCAATTGCCGCAACGCGTGGCGCACAACGACTTTTCTTTTTGACGGGTGAAGTTGCTTTCCCAAACGTGTTTGCCTGATTCAAGAGGCAGGGTGGGCAACATGACAGGCGTGAGCAAAAGCAACAGCCTGTTCAAGCCTAGTTCAGTGCGGGTAGGTTGTCTGGAGGTAAGTAGTTGCCTAATGCAGGTACCACAATATTATGGCATCGTTCATACAGTCACCCCTTGACAGCGCATACTATTTGTTACGAACTCTACAATGAGCAAGGTCCACAGCGAAAAACAGGGAGCCCTTTGCTCAGAATACAATGGCGGGCTACAGAACTGGCAGATTTCCGTAAATCGGGGCAAGTATAGACTCCCGATGTACTGTAATCCCTACTGTAGGACCCCAAAAAGGAACACCTAAATCTTGGAAACCCCTATCTGTTTTCTGGGAAGTAGTGGGCCGCGGACCGCTCAATTTAACAATACCAGGCATGCAAGGAGCATGCAGAAAACGGAGTGCTGCAACTGGCTCTCACAGTGTCCCCTCTGCAGGACTACTGAAAACCAGCTTCAGCACATTGGAACGGATATTGCAACAATTGCCTGTGCCAACCCTCCATGGGTCGACAAAAGCTGGCTCTGGGGTTAGAGACAGAAGAAGATAGCATGCTTCTCGTATCTCCTAGCTATTCTAGTATTCTGGAATAAGTCCGTCACCCCCAGCTGCTCATTTGCTTTCCTAACTCATTCAGCTCAAGGTATGTACACGAGAGCACGGACTGCGCATACTAACAAAATCCATCGAGGGAATATCAGTTGAAGATCCCTAGAACCGCTCAGTCAAGCTTGAAAGTGCAGATCGCTCTATATGCTCAAGGCTAACAGAAGGCCGTCCTTACCTGCTTCCGTAACTTTCACCTCCACTTTCTGACCTCAGTTGCAGAGGGCTGGGTGCGCAGGCTTCAGCCACAGGTGAAGCAAAGCTGAGCCATTATTGACACGCCCCTCCGGACTCTCTTAAGATCACACGAAGGCCAGTCCAGAAGTTACGTAGCAGAGATCCATTGTGTGAGATTCAGGTTGAAACCGAATCCTGCTAAAGTGCCAAAGGGCCCTTTTTCCCAACATCTGGGCGGATCTTAAGCAAAGCCAATCAGCAGCACAAACTTTCTGACTACGCAAAGATGCATAGCAATGTGCCTTAAGTTGTTCACCCCACCGCCCCCCCACACTTGAAGGGAGCAAGTCACATAAACACCTGTATAATGTCACAAAAGCTTTCAGGCAAGTAGTATGTATAAACATACAAACACGCAATGTTTATAGTTGTCACTTCCTGCTAGATATCAGGTCCCCACTGCTTCGCCCAGGCCACAATCCGCTACGCAAGCAGTTGCCGCTGCCCCGAAGCAACCCAACCGTTTGCAACCTCTTTAAACTTGTCCCAGTTGCCCTCTTCCAGTAGCTCCACACTCATGGCACTTCCCAGTTCATCCTCCACGAGGGCCAGGAATTCCTGGAAGAACTTGGCCACCACAAGCTCTGGTCTGCAAGTCTCTAAGTTGGAATTGGATCTGGAAAGCTTTTGTAGCTAGGGCTGACTACGGAGCTTATCTGACTGCCTGACCGTTAGGAAGAGTCCTTGGGCATTTCCTTCACCTTCTCCTGCATGGACAGGAACAGGCGGTCGTCTGTCACATCCCAGACACGAACCTGGCATTCTTCAGAAGAGTGCTCATGTAGAAAGGAAACAGGCAAGACATGGGTCTGTGTGCTAAACCTGCTGCAAGACGACTGCAGAACGCTTTGTTTTGGTCTTTGGCTTGGGAAGCTCTAGAGACTTCAAATTTGCACGAAGGTCATGTCGGTCGTGTAGAGTTTCTTACCAGACTATTCTAGACTGCATGTTAATATGAGTCACAGCGTAACCTTGGCAGGTCTGGCCTCCACCTGCTCATCTACCATCAGCTCTCTCTGTGATGCCATCTGTGCCTGCGGAATGGGGCACCTACACATTTCGCAATGGCAGCATGGTGACCAAGCCTATGCCCGCTCGCTACGGGATGGGCGTATAACACAGCACCTAAAATTCTGGGATGCAAGAATGGAACTCTAATTTGGAATGCCCTTCGAGACTTGGAGACCCATAGATATGCGCATCACCGCACACCTGGTGCAGAGTTTCGATCGGACTTTTGGAGCAACTCCGTCCGAAAATAATGGTCAACTGCAAAAAGTACTTTAGCATCCCCAGGCCTCAACCTGTAGGGCCTACACCCTGCATTCCCTTCCCTAAGCTCCCCACTAACGTGGAATCTCGTGTAACATCTGTGGGACATCAGGGACTTTCAAGGCTCCTTGGCAAGTTCGATGCTTGGCGGAGCGTGCATAATGTCTCGACTACTGGTTCTATTGGTTTGGCCACAGGTAGAGTTGCCTTTACAGCCCTTGCTGTACCAGAGGGGCCCACTTGAGTAGGCATTGATTTGGAAAACCTTGGGTCCCTCTGTATGGCGTTGCAGGGTCCTTCGGCAAGATGCCCACGAGCGTGCCAGCAACGGGATGTCGGACCTGTCTCCATTTGGGGGTGGCTTTGCGTTAGTGATCTTGTATTTTGAAGCAATATAGATTTAGAGTCCCTCGTTTTGGCAACATGTCCCATTAGAATATATCCGTATGACTCATATACCATCCCTGAAATGAAATCAAGTCGTTCTGACGTAGGCCCCTTGACACATTTTGGCGTTGGGTCTTGAAACGAACCAATGGGTAGGGCAGCGTCAGCCCTCCACACTGGCAGAAGGTTTGAGAGGCTTCAGCCGCAAGATCAAGTGTAGCCCATCGAACCAGGCCTTTTTCACACCCCTATGACCTCGGGCAGCTGTGACTGGGGAGAAAATCCAGCAACTCTTTAATTTCAAACCATGTCAAGCCCTATGAGCCTTGCTGCTGTTAGAGCGTGGGGAAGCAGAACCCAACCGCCCTTCCAGCCAGCCTCTACGGAGGCGCCGTAGGCCCCGAAACTCTTAACTCGGCCCTGCAGCCAATGATCCATGAGGTCTCGGTACCTCCGAGGACGTCTGGTTCAGATGGGGTGGGTCTAGGTTGGCATACTAGGAAATGCTGGTGTTATTTACACCCGACGCAATGATTGTCAATATACTATAGGCACTACCATTTTACACTTTGGGGTATTCTCTACATAGGTCCTTATCTATACCAGAAAAAGACACTATAGATATTACCTGGGATTATACAGGGGCGACTATGGGGCCACATTCTTCGATTACCTGGTAAGTTACAAGTGATTCAAACTCTACACTCTAAACTCTAAACCCTAGAAACCCTAAATCCTAAAATAAATCCTAAACCCTAGGAACCCTCAAACCTAGAAGCCCTGAACCCTAGCAACCCTACAGCAGAAAGCTTACACCCCTAAACCCCTGTGAACAGGATGCTTTTGAGCTGAAGCCAAGGTACAATGCCAGCTTGGCTTCCACCCCCTTCCTGGACTCTCCATAGGGTTTCAAGGTTTAAGGGTTTAGCGGTTGAGGGTTGCTTAGGGCTAAGGGTTTCGGCCTGAGGGTTTCCAAAAATTCATGGGCCCAACAAATGCGAACAGGACATGGATAATGCCATGGAAGCTGGAATTATACAGCAAAAGGCAGGGGCTTCTTTGATAAGAACCCTCGTTTTTGGGGGAATTTGAGGGGCACCTCCTATTTTTGCTCAAAACCCATTTATTTAGGGTCGACAATTTGGCTTAGTAGCTCAGTACTGGCGCTGAAGTATCTAGGCTTGAGGCCGTAGTTCGCGGGATGATTTGAAGCCAAGGCCCAACCCTAGACCCTGTCTGCTTGGTGCAGGGCGTATAGGCCTTGGGGTTTATGTGATATGCCAAAGAAAGGATGTAACAAGCCTCCCTCCCTACACTCTATCACATTGAGCTTTTCCAACAAGATCCCAGCTTCAAGGGCTCAGATGTGCGCATGGAGAGATCCATGTAGCCCTTCTCCAAGTCAACACCCAAGACGCGGACCTCTCCAAGCGCTGGGATTGTGGATATAGCGATCAGGGCCGGGTAGTGAAGGTCCAAACAATCATGACGTAGCAAATGCTGAACATGTTGCAGAGGGAGGTTTGGATGTTTGAGGGGGTTTTGAGCGAAGTGTTGGGGTTGTCGTTCTCGCTGCTATGCTGTCACCTCTTTTTGTGTTCAATTCAGACAATGCTGGATCACGCACAGTGCTAGCTGTGCACCAGTCTGCGGTTTGTGAAAATCACTCCAGGCAACCTTGTGGCAATCTCCCCTAAACCCTAAACCAGGAAAATGGGAAAGTCATATGCGTAGGGCTCCAATCCCACCCTGACCCGCCTTTGGATCCCACACTCTTCGCAGCCCAATATAAACCCCAATATACTATGACCCTTAGTATTGGAGATCACTGCAAACCACTATCCATTTCATTTTCCATCTTCTTTTCCATGTGATTCTCCATCACTGGGGTAATATCCCTATAATGTAAGGGTAATTCTAACACCATCGCTGAAGCCCAACCACTTTGAGCTCGACAAAGGACATTGTTGCCCTTCAAGCTTTGGACCCCAGTCGCTCAAACCTCCAGACCCCAACTCGCCCGCCCCATTCAAGCGGCCTGCACTTGCGAGCCGATGTCGGCATCGCCCTTGCATTCCTGGGAACAACTATCCGTTTGAGCGGCTGTCGGTGGTGGTGTTGTCGTTGCGATAATGGCTTTAGCAGCTACTCTGCGCTAGACGCAACGCGAATAGCCACGAGCATAGCAAGTCATACCACTGCAACGACTTGCTGTGGCATGCCTCACACACCATGGCCCCATCCCGCAAAGCAAAACAATATCCTATACAGCTATCTTAAACCCTAAGCTAAACCCCAAACCCTAAATCCTTGCTCGAGTACAGAAGGCCGAGCAGCCCCAATAATCGAATCCCTGATGGCCTCCAATGAAGGTCCACTCTTGTCATGGGTTCCCCTACTACCCCCTAGGTCCTCCTCTTAACTAAGGTTAGTTAGTCTCACACAAGTCTACCTGCAATGGGCAAAATCAAGCCTAACTAAGGTTGTGGAACCCATGATTGTTACGTTGCCATTTTGGGAACTCTCGGCGCCCGATGAACTAGTACCAATATGACCCCTCTGAATTTCCAAAGCCTATCAGACAGCCCACAATTTCAGGCGATGCTTCTGCTGAAGTTAATGGATGGCTACAAGCTATACCCACATATAGAAACCAAGATGGGCTTCTGCATTGTAATGACTTTTCTATCAGCAACACAGATTACGACGCGCGGCTGGCAGGTAAACGAAGCCCTGGCGGGACCCTTCCCCACGTGGCGACTGCACGTTCACGAACCAGCCTGCCTGCGCAGGGTTAGGGCTTTAGCAGTTCAGTGGTAGTCTGGTAGCTTTTATTGGGGGGTGATTACCCTGTGATGCGGCTTCGGCTTCAATATCTTAACGTGCCACTTGGATCTACTTAAACTTTTGAAGTAATCGTTCAGGATGCAGCTACTGCTTGTTTGACCCCTGGTTGCTGCTGGGGAATCGAGAAAGGCAACCCGGGAAGCATGATCTAGTAGCTTCCATGTCATTTTCTTTTCCATTCCCCCGAAGGCTGGTGCAGTTTGCAAACATCCTGGCCACTCTGCCGCGATCAGGTTTCACTGATTTGAAAGGACCTGGAAAAGGATGCTCTCCCTGCCCCCAATGCCATCCCTCTGTTATATACAATGTCTCTAGGTTAGCACTGCAATTTCGATGATATAGCCCAAAGGGTTCAAGAATCTTAGGAGACATTCCAGTGCGCCTGCCTTTCAAACAAACAAGGGAGCTCCACATCACAAATGGTACACCATGATGCTGGACTTGCAATAAGCTTCCGCGTGGCTTATGCATGAGTTGCGCTTCCAACAGCCCCTCTTATGGGGGAGTAAGAATACAATCTGGCCCATGACCCTGTGCATCGCCCAATCAAGATTCATGAAACTCGGGGAAGTTGCAGAACAGTTGGTCTACAGCACAGATATCTAGGCAGATTGGGTAAGATCCCTCTTCTGGTGGCAACCCCCTCAGAGGCCAAGCGAAACCGAAGGGGATTGGTTTGCTAAGTATCGACCAAGGTTCGCCTGCGTTTGCACGACCCTGGGTTCAACGTATTCTCAGTAACAGTTCATAGCTTCCAAAGCAATGGCAACAGCAAAAATACTTAAGATAGAACCTTAGTACAATATTGACCACACACACATCGATACGAGCAGTGGCAGTCATCCCTCTGAGTGTCACTCTTCCCTGGTATCAAACNNGTTTGATACCAGGGAAGAGTGACACCCCCACCCCTCTCTCTCTCTCTCTACTAAGCCCGATTATGTAAGATATGATTTTGGGAGGCAGGAACCCCAAACTCTGAAAAATGGGGGCTGCCAGGCCTCCTGCTTTCGTGTCACTGTGCCTGACAACCACTGCTGCGAATCCAGCTCGGAGAAATCTTCAAGATCCGCCATCGGCCCGGAATTCCAGAGGCTGTAGATCCTGTGTCTTGTTGGGTTAAATAGGGGTTATATTGGGATAATGGAAAAGAAAATGCAAACTACTATCCAGGGTATAGGGTTTAGAGTTTAGGGTTTGGGACCAAGGTAAAGAGAGAGACATTGCGCGCGACCATTCGCTGAGGGGGGTTTTCTTGTTACGAGGATAGATGACGTTGACATCCGGCAGGGCAAGCCAAGAATGAGGTTGATAATTAGCTGCACACTAAACAGGTTCTTTATGGGCAACCTTGTAGTCCTGTTTGGGTTTTCGTGTTAAAGCACGAGAAAACATGTCCAACGATGCCCCAGTAGTTTCCATTTTCTTTTCCATTCTCCCAATATAACACTTATAATCCCTATATACATCTATACACCCCCCATTATAATATGTGAGTTTCCATGCTCTTTTCCAGTATCCATCCCAGCAAAGAATTTCTGAGCGGACTCTGGGAGTCCGGTTTTCATCCATTGCCAGAATCAGGCTAGGCCGGTCTCGCTTGGTGGCGTTCCGGATCTCGCTGACCCAAACTTGAACAACATCGCCCAAGTTCACCATCGCCTACCACTCGCTTTGTCAGGATATGTTGGGATAAAATCTGGGAGGCTACATCAAGGCTGTGTAGGGACTACAGGAGGAAAGACGTAACGAGCTTGTGACGAGATGGGGACAAAAGGATTATGCGCGGATTGTCTTGGGGTTGTCCTGCTCAGAAGGTATGGATTGACTTCGCTGTGGTCATCTCTGATGTATCTCCTTTGCTCGCCACAACTTCCTTTGTCCGTTGTTCTTACAACCATTCTTGGTAAACATCAACGTTGGTAAACTTGTAGGGAACAGACATGATTGTAGTTGTGGCAAAGTGCTCATCTTGCTATGTTCTAGCAAGTTAGGCGCGGGGCTCAACAGCTGGGCGCCTCCTGAATTCTTGTGCAACTCGGTCGGTTCCTCCAGGTTCCTCCTTAATTCCTTGTTGATGGGCATCATGCTAAAATCCTCCTGCAAAATGCCCAGAACGTGCTGCATCCATCCTATGCCACATGCCACAAGGATACGTACAGCAACAACGGCGTGGCATCTTTGCCTTTGACACGAGTCACTGCATTGCCGGTGAGCGGGGTGGAGGATCACACACATGGTAGCTGGTAGCTTCCCACGCACAAAAAAGTGCTGTGTTCAACTAGCTTCAGAACCGAAATTGTGACAAGTCGGGACGACTTCCTCTATGTGCATATGTGTATATTATATACACCACAATCTTTTGGGGTGAGGTCCTTAGGCCGTCGTTCGTGTCAAAACCCAGAGAAGTTGCACCTCCTCGCTCTCCTCCTCATGCTTGCCAGAGCTCATCTTTCCCACAGGAAGGAGCCCTCGAACCTAGGGGCTCTGGTCTGCGATTGGACGAAGGATGCATCCCTCTTAGCTTTGGCTACGTGATGTTTGCATGAAGTCTATTCTAAGACTGAGTTCCTAACCATGAACTTGCAACAGAGTCCTTCGTGCAACAGGGATACCTGCAAGGGCTAATCAGATATTAGCAAACCGACAACTGCTACTCAACTGCGAAATAGATACATGTAGAGTAAACCCTAAGTCCCCAACTTCATCATCTGATTGAATCTAACTCATGATTTGGTTAAGTTGGCAAGATTTGTTCTGCCTGGGGGGGGGTGGGTCATGTCCAAATCATAACATCCCGGAGGCATGGCAATGACTGCCGGATTTCGCACATGGCATGGCAGGGAATGAGGGGGCTGTTGACTTCTAGTTTGCAATATGAGCTATAGTCTAAAACCCCCAGTATCCCCCTTAATAACCCTTACAGTAGTCCCCTATATGATCCCTTATACAACCCCCTTCAAGGAGGTTTAGACTATAGCTCATACAGGGCACAGCAACTTCAAGAAATGAGTAGCGCCCACGTGAGTGACTGTCTAAACTAAACTCCTAGTATCCTCCTTAGTAACCCCCATAATAGTCCCCTATATAATCCCCCATATAACCTCCTGAAAGGAGTTTAGACTATAGCCCACGTGATAAGTCAAGGGCCCAGGGACCTTCAGGCCGACGTCCACCAAGGCAAGCGGGTGCACGCGCAAGACCACGCCTGTCCCAAACTGACCACTCAGGTTTAGGGTTTAGGGCTTTGAGGCTAGGGTTTAGGGTTTTGAGGGTTTCTGTTCAAGTAATCCCCGCCTTTAAACACGAAACCCTTCCAGCCCCCAACCATAGATACACCCAATGTCGTACCATTATACAATCATTCCTATTGCAGTGGGTGGGGAGGTTTTATTACGAGTGAGGATGGGATGAGCCTGAGGTTGGGACTTCCTCGACCCTAAACCCTGCGAATATCTGCCATGCGTGTCAGATAGTGCCGCCATACGGTAGCGAAGAGTTCACGTAGTTTGAAAAGAGACTCGCACGGTTTGGTGATGAAATCGGTGGTTTCCGTAAAAAGGGGTGCACTTAGCCTGGGCGATTTAGCGGCATGGTAAGGCCATTGAAGATTCCACAGGCTTTCTGGGGGTTACTAGGGCATAAGGCAATACAGTATAACAGTATATGGGGATTATAATTGGATAATACTCCCCTATTCCCTGTTAAGCCTAAACCCTAAACCCTAAACCCCAAACCCTACATAATATTCCCTGGTGACCACCAGTAGGTGCAACTCTGCAAGCCCTGCACGGGCCTACCAGCTCTTGACCTGAGTTTCTGTGAGGACATGAGGGGATGTATACTTTAGGGTCTTGTGTTTAGGGAGTTTCTGTGCAGACATGACATGAGGGAATCGATATAGGATTTATAGGTTGGGGAGGCTTTTGGGGGTATACTAGGAGATCCGTGGGCAGGTATATCGGGGGGTTAATAATCCCACAAGCAAGGCATCAGGGCGACTATGGCCGCAGATTGGGCTGCACAGTTTAAGGCATTGTCAGGGATTATTGGGGACTAGTATTTCTAAGGTTTACAAAGGCTCATTAGAGCTTATTAAGCCTTCTTAGTTTGGGGAGGCGCATATTGCGGGCCCCATGCTTGTCGCATGACATGACTCTGAACATACTTACTGGAAAAAGAGCTGTGACGATCAGGACGACGACCTGTCATTCTGCAAGATCTGCGTCAAGAAAGGTGAGCCTGCCTGTAAGAAAATCAAGTGACATCATGCAGCCCTGCAATGAAGCTTTCCGGTTGTACTTCCACTTGTAACTGCAGTGCTTCACTTCATATGAGCTATTGTCTAAACTCCTGGTATCCCCCTTAATAACCCCTATAGTAGTCCCCTATATAAACCTCTATAGAACCCCCCTTTAAGGAGTTTAGACTATAGCTCATATGAGAGTCATACATGAGATCCATATAGGCCGCTTGAGGTGTGAATGCCTGAAGTGCCGGGCTGGAAAGCTCAGAATCCAAAGCCCCTTTGCTCATGCTTGGGCTCTATAGGGGTCATAATATAGGGGTATAATATAGGATTACATGGGGATTCTACAGGGAGAATGGAAAAGAAAATGGAAGCTACTGTTTGGGGTTTAGGGTTTACTGTTACAATGTTGAGTGTCCAAGGAAGCCTACGTGTTGCCAAGCTTTCGCAATTCATAATTTTCTCTGAAGGGAAGGATGGCTGAAGACAGCGGAAACCCTCATATAGGGTATATATTGGAGTTATATTGGGGCTTTGTAGGGATAATGGAAAAGAAAATGGAAACTACTATAATGGGTTTAGGCTTTAGGGCTTACTTTCAAGTGTATAATCTTTGATCACAACCCGGGGCCACCACCCCTTGCAACTTGCATCCTCCTGTTTGTTAGGCCCAAATTCTGCACTGCTGCCCTGCTTTCTTGAATCCTTACGCACTGATGGCCACCCCTATGTGGGGTAGGATATGTCTTCCTAGCCGCCTCCAAATGGACAACTTCACTAACAGTCCATACCTCAAATGACTCATACAAAAGGAAACAACACTACTCGTTATGTAGGGTTTCATGGGGCTATATGGGGATTAGCTACGATTATGTAGGAATTTTATGGTGTAATTATGACTCCCTAGGGAAACAAATGCACAAATAATACCTACATTGAGCCCTAAAGTCTGTACATACTATCTACCTTGGGCTATTTGGATCCCCTAAACCCTAAACCCTCAACCCTAAACCCTTAGGGTTACAGTCATCACTGCAGCGGGTGGACCAATGTGCAGTCCATCAAGGCTGCGCGGGCGATGGCGATGAATGTCGTCCTTCTCAGGAAAGCTTTCCATTTTCCCTGTATAACCCCTGTATAGTACCCTTTTAGAATATAGTAGCTTCCATTTTCTTTTACATTATCCCTATATTCCCCCTAAATAACTCTATACACTGTGGTAGTTTCCATTGTATTTTTCATTATCCCAATAGTCTCGAGCTTAGGGGGTGTTTGGATGCCGTTGCAGTGCGGAAACTTTGATACTTATGAGATGACCATACTTTCGAGGAAATCGAATTCTGATGACTGCAAGGAACCATATTTAGGACGATGGCGCTGACCCACATGATGGTCAATGCTTCGATTGTAGCTACGTACCGCCAATGCTTTTAAATGCCCATTACCAAGAAAAGACCGAATTTTCGCCACAAAGCAGAAAAACTTGGAATGTTCCTCCTATGCGATAACATCATACCTATCATGAGGAACGCTTATGGGCATCTCGAGCTGTCCCACGGCTTTTCAAAGCTTCACTCAACAACCGAAGGACCGAAGGTCAGTGCGGTCCAGCCTTGCCCTGAGAAGGGATAAGTCCCACGATGGCGCCACCATCTGGATGCGGAATCTGCCAGGAGGGCTTCAGGATTTACTTACCGGGGCTTAGTAGGGAACAAGGGAATATTTCCTATAGGTATGATATTCCCTTACTCATTCCCTACTTAAGCACCAGTTAGTTCAGGACTTAGGAGTTTGGGTTCAAACCTGTGTGTCTACTTCGGGATTGCGGCTCAAGATTTCCGAGTTCAGACCAAGCTTAGTGTCCAGCCGCGAATCATCCAATATCGCTTCAAGACATGAGGACTAGCAATGATCTGTGTATGCTTTTGTGCGTGGTATCTGCAAGGCACAATGCCCCAGTACAATGTAAACTGATTACGACAACCAAAGCCCCAATGCTAAGTTGCTGAGGCCCAAAAGAAAAGACTTCTCATCATGATAGCCAAGCTTCAGGGCTACTGGAAGTCAAGCAAGGATTATAGTACGTTGGGGTCGACATTGGGGCCCCGGTAACTTTGGGACCTTTCAACCCCCCCCCATCATTTCCCCCTTAGAACATTCAGGCCCAGCCTCAACGAAAGCGCCAAACTTGCCAGTACGTGTCACAGTGCCTTTTATCCGCTCGGCAGTCATGTTCATGAACACGGCGAGCCTTCGAGGATGGGAGAGCAGGTATGTGGTTGCTTCCTAGGGTTCAAGGTCTGGGAGGTTTTAGGGCTTAGGGTTGAAGGTTTAGGGTTTAAGGTCTGGGAGGGCTTAGGGCTTAGGGTTGAAGGTTGTTTAGGGTTTAAGGACTGAGACGGTGTAGGGCATAGGGTTCAAGGTTTAGGATTTCAGGACTGAGAGGGTTTAGGGCTTGGGGTTGAAGGTTTTGGGTTTAAGGATCTGCGGTCCCCTCACACTTGAATCTGAAAATAATGGCGCAGCGGCATTTGTCCGTGTGGTTAATTACAGTAGGCAACAGAAGTATGTATGGTTCCTTGTCATATCTCGTGTTGTTAGTACATGTCGGTTATTCAGGCTTCTAAATCACTATTGAATATCATGTGAAGGTCTATCTACCGGAGTCCCTTCTGGGGCACGGCTGTTGCGTTGCAGCCGAACGGCTTCTGGATGAGAGGTTTAAAGTGGGACCTGAGAGTCGGACCCAAAATGGATTTCAATATGTCGCTGATATATCAGCCACGGGTAGGCATTATATACAGGCCTCTCAAAACCCTAGGGTCCAACCTAAGGGTCCTACCCCAAACCTCTTGATCTTCCTTCTGGACACTGTTAACCAATGGCAATTCCTAATGTAGGCCCCGGTATTTGTGCATTCTTGGCTGCCGGCAGCCTAGCCGAGCAAGCATGTGGCTACTGCTTGACCGTACAAGCAAATAAGAAATCGCTTCGAAGCCAGAACGGGTTGAGGATTTAGGTCTCAGGGCTTGCCCTTGGAAACATGGAGATCCATCCTCCGGAAGATGTGACACTCAAAATCGGACCTCCCCACATACCTCAAAACCCCAGAATCCCAGAACAAGAAGTAGCACCACCAGGTAACTACGGGAGGGTTTAGTGTAAGTGGGGTGGGGAATCTAACTACTAATTACCAATAGCCCTGCCTGGCTTCCGGCCCTTTAGCAGAAGCGTTGCGCATGGTCAGGTAGAGGTGATTCTTCTCGGCGTCCACGCGCAAAGCCCGCACGTTCACTTGGGACCCAGGGGCCAGGTTCTCGTTGCACTCGCTTCCTTAAGAACTGCCGGAAGAAAGTTGCCAAGGAAATGCAGGAGGCATCTACAAAATCCTGAAAGACAAGAGTGAGAGGATTCTTTACGGGACTTGAAGATTGTGGATGGGCAAGGACTGGCCAAGCGGGAAGCCATTGCACAGGATGCGCAGCTCCTTCTTCAAGGCCTCATATAGGCTAAAAACCGCACAGCAAAACAAAGGTGGGCTTCCAGTATTCCTTTTCTCTGAAACATGCGCGGTGCCCGAAAACAACCAGACTATTTGCAAGGACTGCGTACCCTTCTACAGTCTCATGTTCGCTTTGCGGTTCGTAGAGTAGAGTCTATCTCACACAGTATGCGTCCTAGCTTCGGGGGAGCAGGCCCTCCATGAATCCATGGCCAGAAGGTGCTGGGACCTTCACGAACCTGGGTTGCTGTTAAGGAACTTAAATTAAGTTACCATAATGGGAAGAAAACAAATAATAGGGTTTCCCCAATGCAGTAACTTAATTTAAGTTCCTTAACAGCAACCCAGGAACATGCCATAAGATCGGTTTCGGGTGACCGTTCCTTCGAACCAGGCCTCGACATGGCAAACAGGGCCCGGCCCACTGCGATAAGAATGGGCTGGTATGCAACACCGCATGGATATAGTCCCCCTTAAGTAGATAGAATATGGGGTATATGGGGATCTCATCATAATATACCCAAGGCCATATCTTATCTACTTAAGGGGGACTATAAGCTGAGGAAGGCTGAGAGCCTGCGGCTGTTGGGAATTCCCACCCCTGATCTCTAAGTTCGGCCTTGGGGTGTACTATCCCTATCATGTAACAGCTTTATACATAGGAATTTCCTCAGAGCCCGCAGTCATCCTTTTACCACCCCAAAGCAGTGCCTTGCCCAAATTCGACTGAAACTGTGTGACGTTGGCCGTGGGTTTCCAAACCTTGTTTCTGTCCTTCCGGGATTGGCGCGAGGGACCCACTAAAAGGAAGTCTGGCTGTTTATACAGGTTGCCAATGGGCTAGACTGCTGGGATGTATAAACCATTGATACAGATTTGGTAGGTGTCTTCTTCATAAAAAATAGAAGCCCGGTCCGTGGAGAGAAGGAGCTGACCACGGCGTAGATCGTGAGGATTCGAGACCTCGCTCACCCAGACGTCCACTTCATCTCCCTCCCAGGGTTGTTTGAACTCTTAGGATGCCTTAGGGTTTAGGCTTTAGGGGGGGGGGGGCGTTACAGGATTTAGGGCTCCAGGTTTAGGGTCCTGACAGGGTGTGTGGAGGATGGAAAAGCCAACTGATTGCTGTAACACGGAACCCAATAAGAACAGCCCCGGTTGAGGACGGTACCCAGTATTACTAACTTGAATCTTTTTTGTGCGGGCAAGCCTCTCGGACGCAGTCAAAGCAGCTGCCATTAGGAGCCGCACCACGCATTCGCGAGATTGGTACCAGGCCCTCCTTCTCCTCCGATTTTTCTGGAAATTGCTCAAGATTTGGGTGTGATCTTGCCAGGACACTGCCTTAAAAAACACCGGACGTCTGTAAAAGCATGAAAATTCAAAATGTATAAGACTCGCTTCGAACCCGGTAAATTCCTAGGGGCCACGGACAGGATAGTCCCCTGACGCGATTTAGATTTGAGGGTTCGAAGAAGATTCCTAGGGATGCAAGGCGCCGCACCAACATCGACCATCACCAATTTATCGGTGACATAGGACACGACACCTTGCAAGCAATTGATACTTTTCCAGGACATTCGGTTTTTTAGCAGGACATATGGTTTAGGGTCTAGGGTTTAGGGTGGGGGAAGCATAGAAAAGGATAGAGGCCAGTGGTAGGTGCCAAGTGGGACATGGGGGTGGGATGGTTTAGGGTACTAAAACCCTAGCCATTTGCAGTAACCATGTTTGGATTCACACCGGTTCATGCATTTGGCTGCTGCAGCCTCGAAGTTGTTGGCCGACACTGAAATCTGTCCTTGCATGGGCCCAGGCTGTAGGATTTAGAGTTGGGGGCTTCAACACGAGCATCACACACAGCAGGCGCGGAGCGATTTAGGGTTTAGGGTCGAATGGGATCTACCTATAGGTTCAGGATTTGGGCAGTTCTTCCCCCAACCCTGGGGAAGCCCTGCAGGACCCTTAAGTTTTGCAAACTCGGCTCGGCTTTTTGGGATCCATGGCGCAAATTTCAGGCTTGGGGGGTGAGGTTTCCTTGCTGCCATGGGCATTGCCTTCCTACTTCATAACAGAAGTCATCTGCTTGGCAGTTTCCATTGGTGGCCGAAACAACACCTTTGTAGTCTCCCTAGTAGGGGGTCCCCGAAAATAGACCCTAAGATAGTATATACCTTAGTCTAATCCTTAGTGTAGGTGCCCACAAAGGGTACCCTGAATCTTGGGAAACTGCATTTCTGGGGGCACCTGGTCTGTACGGAAACATTGGAGGGCTCGTTGACTTAGCTTGGGGTGTGGGATCTCGGCGTGTGATGTAGGGCACGTGTCTGATACTCGGGGTATCATGGTATAGGGTCATTTTCTATGGCGCAACAAACCTATTCTAGAGACATTCTTCGTGTGTGTACTTATTCCTAAGCTGCACGACGCTTCATCATGAACTTGAAGTCAGGAACTAGTCTAGTGACTGGTTCTTAGTAAGGAATATGGGAATATGATCCCTATAGAATCCCAACATAATCAATTCCCAGATTCCCTACTAAGAACCAGCAAGTCAAAGTCTAAGCCAAGACCATGTCACAGCAGGAACTTGCTTCCAAACACCTCGCGCTTCTTCAAATGGAATCCGCAGGAACCCCCTGTAATATCGGCAAACGGGCTCCCCTGCATGAAGCTTACTGGCTCTTACTAGGGAACAAGGGAATGTAATCCGTATATGATCATTACATATTAATGTAGTCTAATGCATTTGCCTACTAAGAACCAGTAAGGATGTTGACTTTATCAGCAATTTGTTGGGGGTTGGGTCTGGTGCCCCGTTGGTGCTGTGCAATAGTCCCAGAATCCATGCTGCAAGGAAAACATGCGCGCTAAGAGCTGTCTACTCATCAGGCAGGTAACCGGAAAGCAGGATTTGGGGGTTTCCCAAAAATTAGGGTTACCATTTTGGGGGTCCACATAATAATAAGGATTAAGCTATTTTGGGGTCTATTTTGGAGTTTCTGTATACCGTTGGTGGTCGAGGTTCAGCTATGCCGGCGTTGGGAAAAACGAAACCACCCTCACTGCTTTCGTGATTTCTGCAACCAGGCAACAACGGCGCTGCTCCCTTGATGGTAGAAAAGCTGAGATCCTGAAGGAACGAACGACAGGGACTCAGCATGTCAATGTGTCATGTGCTTCATATGAATGTATTTGCAATTTGAAGGAGCCGGTGTCTTCATGCATCATACTTGGAATCTTAATGGGCCTCACCCGGTAATGCCCTTTCTCGGGTAGACCTGGGCTGACAATATAGGCAAAGTACACCGCGCAGGATGGGTGCAAAATGTGTGCGGACCCAGACGTACATTTACCCGTCTCTTTCTGAAATGGACCTTTTTTTATCCTCGGAAGTAGCCATGATCATGCGCACCTTTGTTCAAGACCCGTCTACCTGCGCTGAAACCCAACACTGGAAATGCTGGACATCAGACCATCACGCTTCAAGAGCACTTTAATGGGTGTGCGGTATCTAGGAAGCGAAATGATGTCCTTCAGTCTCAGCAACAGAACCACAGCTACAGCGACAGTGCTGCGCCGCGCCCGCATCACGCGAAGCATGGCTATGAGTAGGTACTTCGGGCTTCAAGGTCTTTATCCATGAGGGGGCCGTGGGGTGCGGGGTGGGCCAGGACCACAAATCAGGGAGTTGGCAAGGCAGAGGTGGCTTAAGACTCAAGGGTCTTCGGGGCATACCTCTTGGATCCTCTTGGATAGTTAAGTATGGCAACTGGGGACCTTTGGCCAACACCCCCATTGCAAGATACTCTTCTAGCATTGCAAACGCCTGACTGCTGCACATTCGCAGGAAGTGGTGCATGAAGTGAACTGCAGCATGAGGTGATGCACAGCATTTGCGTGACTAGGGCAGCGTCTTACAGCGTCTTCTCATAGCATGTTTGGGAGATGGCATGTGCCGATGTGCCTGAGTTAGGTAAGCTGCGAGCCCATGTGAAGAGCAGCATGCCAAGCGCTTGCTGATGCTATGCTCCAGAAGAGGATTCCACTGTCCATGTCATTCTTTACCGAGATTCATATTTTGTGCTCTCCAGTGCCCTGTACTTACTTGTCCCTTGTTGGCAGCTAGAAAGTACAGGGACAGATTTACAAGGCCACCACGACGTACGGAAGTCCCTGACTCACAGTACTTAACTGTGGAAAAAAGCTCCTTGAATTGGATCCAAGCCCCAAGTCCTTGCATCCCGCATAAAGAATGCTCATCGCAAAGCTTTGCCACCTTGCCACCAAAATCCTCCGCACCCTAATCCTAAAGTCTTCTGTCACCACTTCCCCACGCCTCCAGACGCCCAACTTGAACTCTCATTCATATCAAAAAGCGTCGCCAACGCTAGGCCTAAATTTCCGCCAACCCCTGTTCTCTAATCGCAATATTCTCCGTGGTGGGTGGTGCGTATCAAGAATAAACCTATTTGAGGTCTTCCCCTTTGTGCCTTTGGGACCGCAAATCTACTATGGCAAGGATCCCCAAACTCCCGGGGCTGCCACAGAGCGGCACCTGCCAGAAGCAAGCTTCTCTTTGCAAGGGTTTTAGGAAGCTACCAGTAGAGTAAAAGGAATCTCCAAAATTGAGGCCCCCAAAAGGAATCTGAAAGCTAAAAGGCTCGAAGTCAATTCTCTTCTATGCGGATCACTCAGGGTCTGGGCAAGGACAAGGGTTTAGTCCTGGCTTTGAGGGTTGGGATTTTGGTCGTGCCAGGTCTTGCGTTGCAGTCTTGAAGCAGTGACCCAACGAAACCGCTGCTTCCGACAGAAACAGACAAGTGTGTGCAAGGCTGTCATACTGGTTGGGGTCCTACACCCTCTCTATCTCTCCCATGTGCTCAGCTGGACCTGTCAGCGCAGATTTCTGAGGGCCGAGCCAACCTGTTCATGTGGCACGCACCACACCCAGCTTGCTAGTGCCTATGCAGAAGTCCTCAGACAGCAAGTCTATGAAGACACTACTACATCCAACCAAGGATGCCTGACGACCCTTTCTCCCTAGCCCTAAACGGACTCAGAGCACAAGTTTATCGAAACCTTAAAACCCTGAATCCCGCCAATTCCCACCAAAAGATGGACATGGCAGTTCCCCTAACAAGGGTTACCCCAGTATACACACCAAATACGATTATCATTGCGACCCCTCATAAATGGACCCCTGTTTTGATATAATCTAAGTCTATATTGCATGCCATTGTATCCCCAAAGAAAATACTACTCAAATGTACACTGGGCCTGCTTCGCTGCATCAGAACCCACGTCCCGCTGTGATGGCTTTGATCTCGCCCTGGGATGGCACCAAGTAAGTTCCCACCCTTGAGGCTTGAAAGGCTTAGGGTTTAGATGGGTTTAGGGTGGGCTTACTGGGGGTTAGTAGGGCATCAGGGAATATATTAATGTAGGGATTATATACCCCTATTCCCTACTAGGCATCAGTAAGTTGGGCTGCTCTCAGAAAATTGCTGGTCCCTTGTGAGCATCCTTCACACCGTCGAAATGCTGCTCGAAGAAGGAAAAGCCTGCAGCTTCTCCCCAGCCCCTGAAACATCCAGGCCCATACTCCAATCACTCTCTGAAAAGGGGTTTAGGGTAGGATCTCCTAAGCCTCCCTGCCATGAGCCCTGTTTACAGCTTCCTGGTGCTTTGCTTCAGATCTCCTTTCCTCCAAACATCACAAAGATGCCAGGGCCCCGTCGGACTGCAATGCAAGGCCCCGCATCGCAGCCTGGCAATAGGTCTGTGTTCTTGGGACGGGATGTCAGAAAATGAGCATTCCTTGAGACCACGAGGTACTTCAATGACAAGAGCTGTACTGGTTACGGGTTGTAAGGAGGATTTTGAGGGGTTGGCCGCATGATCAGAAGTTTAGAAAGATCTGCTCCCACAAATCAGTGTAGACACTGCTAAGTTTTGTACATGTAGGCTGTAAGTTTATATGGCAACCTACAAAGGCATTGATTGACAATCCCTAAACTCCAAACCCTAAACCCATTAGCTGACAACAGAGCTTGGGCCCAGATGTAAGTCATCCTCGAGATGGTTTAGGGATTAGGGTTTAGGGATTAGGATTTACGGTTTAGGGATTAGGGTTTAAGGTTTAGGATTTAGAGTTTAGGGATTAGGGTTTAGGGTTGCTGTTGCCAGCAATCATCTTGGAGCACAATGCAAGCAACAGAAACCTGAGTTGTAGCGGCAGAAGGCCTGCCAATGAGTTTCAATGATGGACAATGGAACAAATAACGCTTGATATGCTCAATCCTACACCTCAAGTTCAGAAGACCTCTTTACCCTGAAGTTCACACCCTTGAATCGTGCACCCGAAGTCGATCCTTCAATCCAGATTAGGAGGATCTCCCACCCTGAGATAGTGGAAGAATAGGAATAAAAGAGGACGCTAAGACCTTATTATCCTTTATAGTCACTATTACCAGGGGGGGCGTCCACCTGAGCCTCAACCCTAAACTAGCCCAACTCCCAACCTGCCGGTCGTAGGTCAGGCTTTCGGGATTCCGGGGACACTCTGTGGCGATGTGGCCATCTTGCTGGCCTCCAGCTGGTCATTTAGGATTTAGGGTTTGGGATTTACGGTTTAGGGCTGTTTGGGATTTAGGGTTTGGGATTTAAGGATTTATGGGTTAGGGGAATGAATACAGGTACTATTCTGCAGGAACATGCAGAGATGGTTCTAGAAATCCACTCCCGTACTCCACATGTCGGCATCGAGTAATCAATCACACGATTTTAGGGCTCTGTTTGAAAACATGGTGTGGGATTCGAGTGCAGGGAGGGGCCAGCATGTAAGGCCGACGTAACGTCTAGGCCCAAGCGTGAAGGATGTGGAAGGGGAGTGTGAGGGGGTGTAAGGGGAGGGGGGAGCACGATCATTGCTCCCTTCACAAGCCCAGCTAGACTAGACCGGGCACCCTAAAGCCTAAACCCTAGCCTCTTGGGCTCCCCAAAATCAGATGAATGCGGACAGCCCCACTACCCAGCAGCTCCGAGCCAGTCTCACGTGCTGTAGTTTCCTTAGACCTATAATAAAAACATGTTTTGAATAATTCCTTAGGGTTATACTATAAGAATATATATATATATACACATAAAATCCTAAGGAGACTACAGAGTGGAAGTGAAGGACCCCGAACAAAAAAAAGCAGCTGCTCTTCCGAGCACGGCGTTGGATTCAGCTGTTTTTTAAAAGGTTTTGGGTCTAAGGTTTAGGGGTTAAGGTTTTAGGGTTTAAGGCTTAGGGTTTATAAGGCTTAGGGTTTAAGGCTTAGGGTTTAAGGTTTGGGGTCTAAGGTTTCGGGGTTGGGGCAGATGTAGCAATAACATGAATAATACTCACGACAAAAAGGATGAAGAGCGACAACAATACTAACAGTGGACGTAGCGCAGCCTTACGCACTGGGCTGCTGTTACGGAACTTAAGTTCAGTTGCTATAAGAAATGCAGCCCATTATTTGCGATACCCATATTATGGTAACTTCATTTAAGCTGTAGTCCCCGTGATTAGACCTTTAACAAAAACATAGTCTTTAAAATTCCTTAGGGTTATACTTTAATAGAAGTTAAAAGCTGATTCTTCAGCAGGCTGCAGTAAGCCCTGTAACAGCAATCCAGCGAAGACGATTTGAATCTAAAAAAACCTACCCTATAATCCCTATATAACCCCTCTATTCCTTGTAGTTTCCATTTTATTTTCCATTGCCCCAATATATGTTCCTTGTAGTTTCCATTTTATTTTCCATTACCCCAATATAGCCCAAATATAACTGAGGCCGCCGCAGAAGAAGCAAACTTTTGGCTCTAGACCTACAGCCACACGGCCTGCCAAAATCAGAGGTCTTAGAGTTCGAGTTTTAGGGTGTTAAGGTTTTAGTGTTTTAGGTTTTGACTTTTAGGGTTTAAAGCTTAGGGGTTTAGGATTCGAGTTTCAGGGTGTGGGTTTAGGGTTTTGGATCTAGGGCCTAGGGTCTGGAACCTCAGCTCCCCGTGTTGAGGCAGGTCCTTGAAATAAATTGAAATCAAGGGTGCTGAAGTCCCAAGAACCCTGCAAAGAGCTCTTCCAGCCCAAAGAAGATATGCGAAGGATTATCCCTGAATCTGAGCCAGGGGATTCAAATGGTCTGATACAGCACAGACGCACTACGAATGGCAAATGAAATCAGCACAGACAAGGAAATGGGTTGGCAGCCTGCACAAAATGTCGCTACCAGCAGTTGACACATAGGTGTCGTTACGCAGCAGGTCCTCTGCCTTCATGCTGGCAATTCGTGTTGAGAACGTTTGGAATTAGGCTAGGGTTCCTCGTCACGAGTCCTTTTCCTTACGCTGTGGAGCACCTCTACTGCGATTCACGAGGCAATCGTTCTACTGAGACTCGCAGAGGACGCCGATATGCCTTCCAGCTAGGACATTGCATCTGCAAGGTTGATGATGTGTTGTCATGGGCAAGGCAGCCGCAGGAACCGATCCAATTGCACTAGCTGCGAGAACCTTCTGAAGCATCTTGCGCTGTCCTACGCCAACTAGACAACCTGATTTTCAAGGAAAAGAGTGCCTCACAATGCAAAGAAACACCAAATATGCATTGTCAGGTCAGAAATTAGGGGACCGTAATAGACACGATATACAGCAATCCTTATTATAGTGGGGACCGCAAAAATGGGAGACCCCTACTTTCCGGAAACTCTAATCCCTCCAGTTGCCTTTTCATTTTCCAGTTTCTTTCCCTTTCGCTTCTCCATTATTGGGGGTATATCTCCCAAAGCCTTTATTATGACCTAATCCCTGAATCCTCTCACCTTAAACCTTATACAAATCTTGGATATTGCCCCCACTCCGTAACAGTTGGATAGTATCTATATGATTCATAATTATAGATAGCCCGAAATATCACCCTTATTATAACCCTTATCATAGCCTGTTCCTGAGTGGGGGCACTACCCAAACTCTAACTCCCACTTACAAAGCCCGTACGAAAACCTAACCCTAAACCTTACCCCAAAACCCTAAGCCCTAAACCTCAAACCCTAAACCCTAAGACCCTAGAACCCTAAACTCTCAAAATTCATCGTAACCTTATATGAACCATATAAAGCTCCCACTCACACATAGCAAGGTCTCTCAGCCAAGTGGCCTTCGGGATGCGAGTAGAGGCAATCGGCCCGGGCCTCGGTCTACGCAGCCGTCTTTTCGTCAGCTACAGTTGTAGCTTGGGTTTAGGGATTTAGGGATTTAGGGTTTAGGGTTCAGGGTTTAGGGTTTAGGTATGTTGGGGTCATTCCCCCTTACAGTAACTGTTACCACAATGGGTTATAGGAGTTATAAGAACCCCCTTAATAAGGCCCCTTTAAGGACAGTTACTGGGAGGGGGAATGACCCAAGCTACAGTCCAGTACTGGAGAAACAAATGGAAAGCAAAAAATGGGAACTGGGAGTATAGAGAGGATTACAGGGACTAAATGTTACAGGGATTATATGTACCCAGAGAATGAATGGACACAGATTCCTGATTCGGGACGATATTGTAAAATTAGGCACTGTACTACACTACAAGAGGGACCCCTATGTCCATTGCGAAGGGTCTCTTAATAAAGCGAATATCGACAGTGGTTCGAATGATGTTGAGGGTTTAAGGCATCATTATCGGTGGTTGCATGAAGGCAATTATCACGACAATGAATTACTCTCGCCATTTGTTGTTACTATCGATACTATTCTTACTGTGACTATCATTATTGCCAACATGTTTAATCATCCTCACTATGAACTATATGTGCTAGCATTTGCTTTTCTAATAGTCATCACTCTTGAGGATACTTTAGCTTATCAGCAATATTATGACCATCCATATTTTCGACTATGATTGATATTACACTTTCTTATCATCATCACCATTAACCCTTCTATAAGAACAATATGGCTAGGACTTGTGCTTATCTCATGCTTAACAATGCCATTGTTATGACAATATTTTCCAACCTTGTAGCTGAATATACCTGATCAGTTGATTAGCCACGCTCCCCTGCGCAATGATCACGTGACTGCTTTGTTGCATTCCAGTGCACATGTCCCCTGTGGGATGCTACAGAGAGCTTCGTCCCTGCCTACGCTCACGCCGTCGCCGCCACATGGAAAGAAAGGCTGCAAACAGCGCCATGGGCGATCCCCTCTGCGGGTCCGCAGCCCCTCGACGCACAGCCGGTGCAAGCCCAGGATCAAAGGAGCCGAGACTGAGCCGGTGGTGGACGGCATCAAGCACATAGCCAAGTGCTTCATTGTTTCCATCCTCCTCCATGAGCTGCCACACTTTCTCGTTGAGGCCGCCGGGCGTCTGCTCCGCCAAAAGCTCGCTAAACGTCTCCGACGTGGCGCCCGCGCTGTCTGCTGCAAAAGCCCCGAAGGCTGCAGAGGTCCATGCGGCTGCTACCTCAGCCGGCACCCCGCCTTGTGTGAGCCAATTCTGGGCTGTGAGCTGCTGCTTATAAAAATTTCCCATAAGACCAGAGATGCACATCAGTCGCCTGAATTGCTCCACGTCTTCCACGGCCACATGCCGGCCTAAGCGACGGAAGATGCCAATAGCAGCTGGGCCAGGCTGTAGGAGAAGAGCTGCTCCACTTTTTTTGGCCACAGAAGGAAAGGGAATGGCAATGGACACAGTGCGCGCAGGAAGGCAGGAAGAACGCAGCTTCTCGATCGGCAGCCCTGCGACCAGTGAAATCACCTGCTGCTCTGGTCGGAAAGAAAGCTCCCGCAGAACCTGGGTTGCTGCTAAGGAACTTAACTTAAGTTACCATACTATGAGTCTTTACGGTATATAGTTAACTGATACGTTTCCTTATTGTAGACCATAGACTAAGTTCCGAAACATCAACCCAGGAACTGACTCCACTTGTTTCGGCAGCACAGAGACAAGCACACAATCCACCTCATCCACGACATCCCGGTTGCTGGCAGCAATGCGCACGATGTCCGGGAACTCCTTGCGTAAGGCCTCAGCCTTGGAGGCACCCCTGGGTGACAGCACCACAGCCCGAAGTCCCTGGGGTGGGGTCTCAGGACCTGGAGTGCACAGGCCACGGATCACTGCAGAGCCTATAGTTCCGACCCCAACAACTCCAACTGTGGCCGGAATTGCATCTGCCATGGCTAGGACAAGAAGCGACCCCAAGTATGGCAAGCAAGTTAGAAATCAAAGCTTATGGAACGGCATTTGCCCTGACAGCAAGAGCACCATCACAGATACCTGCCCCAACAAGAACACTCACGCTGCTGCTGCACAAAAACTTTGGCCGTACAAGGCTATGACCCACCACTTTAGAGCCATGTATGAGAGGGCCACCTGCAGGAGTATGCGCAATTGCCAATCTCCCTTCCCACTTAAACTATGGAGTCCTGATTGCGAAGCACCACCCAGAAATGGAAGCCTAAACCCCTAAACCCTATGACGTCTCCAAATTTTCCAAAAGGTCATAACCTCTTGGCTGCCCTGGATCCCAAACCACTGCCGCAGATCCTATGAAACCCGATGGGATCCCGAGAGCCTTGATTGGGGTTTGGGGTTTAGGGTTTACATAGGATTATTAGGGTTTAGGGGTTTCGGGATGAGACCTATGAAGCTCCAGCCAAAACCATGTGGTCCCGTGATGAATATCGGCAATGGGGTCCTCCCAAACATCACTCTTGGCTGAAAATGCCAAAATATGCCGGACATCCCTGGGATAAGGATACCGTTGTTTTGAATGGTCAGTGACCCATGATGACCCTAAACCCTAAACCCCAAACTCCCAGAGCATGGCCACTCAGCCCAGGACGCACAGGACGCCAAATTTGCACATTCCCTTCGTGGGATCCTGGCGCAGGAAGGGTTTAGGGTTTAGGGTTTAGGGAGAATTTCCCACAGATCTTATTCAAATGTCGAAGCTTCTCTGATTCGAACTTCAACTGTATAAGGGGACAACATTGGATCAGGGTGGTCATCAATTTTCGGATGGGGTTGTAAATTGATGTGAGCTGTAAGGGTCCACCAAAAGTGGGAAGTTTCTAGGAGTAGCTAGGTAGCATAGGTTCAGACATCTGATATGAAGCTTCTAAGATGTTTTTCCTGCATCGTAACTGCCTCATCACCTGGCGGGCGAACTGCAAAACTAGACAGACCTGTGGGTCTCTTTCGGGTGTCCATGCTATGCGAGGACGTAGTAGCTACGAACAACTCGTAGCCGCTTGTGTCACGGTGAGACAAAAGCACAAAACGAATCCCACAAAGCTTTTCTATTGGGTTTCTCTGAATTACTGAGTAAGATTCCCAATGCAAACATCCTGTTGGCTAAGGTCTCTAGTTTCCCCGTACTTGTTGAGAAACCACTATTTCTGCATCCTTAGGCAGCTTTAGGCGAGAGTGGGGGAGTGAATATAGGTACTTTTGTACATGTACACTGAGGATTAGATAGGGATAGTTATAGATCCACTCCCCCACTCCGCTCAAGCAACAGTAAATCCATCGAGTAATGGATCCCGACAGTAGCCCCTATTTACATCTCTGAAAGCAAGGCGATGTCTGTTTTTTTTTACTGCTCCATTCCCTACTCGCACCCGGCAAACAGAGCCTGAACCCAGTATATCTCGATAAGTGCCCAGCTTTCTTTGTTTTATGTTCCGCTCTTTTACCCATTTGATTTTCCATGCCCTTCAAAGAACCAGCAAGACTTTGGCTGGGAGGCATCGTCTATCATCCGGCCCTCCGGATGGTCGTAAAAGCAGCCTTGCCTGCAATGATGAAAGCTCTGCGGTCAGGTAATAGAAATAAACGTAGTAGCAGGAGAGTAGTAGTAGTAGTAGTAGTAGTAGTAGAAGTAGTAGTAGTAGTAGTAGTAGGTAGTAGTAGTAGTAGTAGGAGGTAGTAGTAGTAGTAGTCGTAGT